CCTGCCAGGCTGTACGCAGGAGCACGGGGATGCTCAGGGCTCGACATTTATTTTTCTCATGACTTACTCCGTGTGTGTGTTTTGGCCAGCATTCCCCATCCGGGGTCGGGATCAGCCCTGGGATAAAGGCAGGGGCGAGCCCTCTTCCCCCGGCAATTTTCTGGTGGGAATTTCAATGCCGGGGGGGGGGGAGAGAGAAATGGTTCCTTGATTTTAAACACCGTTCTCATGAAAAGTGTTTTCTAGGGACTGTTGTGGAATGGGGGGCTCACCAGCAGCCAGGTGATTGCAGCTAAAACCAGCCTCTGGAGCTGCTGGGGCTGGCATGGCTATGCTGATGCCTTGGGCATCGGCAGCCGCGGCGGAGCAGCACGTCCCCTGACACCAGGTCACTGCTGCGCTCCCTTGGCTGCCGTCCAGCAGGGATTTGCAGCGCCAAGCATCAGGCTAGGTGGTCCGAAGGTCCTTCCTGCCCTTGGCACCGGCGAGTTATGAACTCTGCGGGACCCGTTTGCAGTCAAGGAGATGTGCTGGCTCACTGTCCCTGCCCTCTGACACCCCCCGGGCAATTGGGTTGACTTGGGAAAGATGTCCCAGCTCCGGGTAGCTGCCCTCAAGCCCCCTCTGGCTGTGGACATGCCCTAGACCCCAGCCTGAAATGTGAACCTCGGCATTAGGAAGACTTGGGGCACCAGGTTGCGCAAGAGCCCAGCTCCAGCCTCTCGCAGCCGTGGGGTATTGCATGCCATGGTTTCTGCGTGTCTGGAAGTGATTTGGAAATGCCGATCTGCTGTTAACCCTAAACAAAACAAAGGCCTTTAAAAAAAAAAAAAAGAAAAAGAAAAAATTGTGTCTCACTTATTCTTCAATCACCAGCCAGGAGCGACAGAGGTTTCGGGCGAGACTTCCTTCATGTTCCTGGAGCTTCTTATTAATATTTTGCAAGAGCAAATCAGCACCAGTCCATGGGAGAGCCCATGTGGCTTCAAGGAGCCTCCTGTCCGCCCTCCCTCATCCAGAGGGAGGCACAGCATTACCATGTCAGAGGAGCAGCCCCTGCTGCCGTCCAGAGCTGAGCCCCTGGAGGCTTTGGTTCTTCACCCCTGCCACAGGAGCAGCAAGGTGGGTGTTGGGGGAGCTGGGGGTCCTCAGGCTAAGGCCTGTGGTTGCTTGTAGGGTGAAGTGAGAGCAGCCTTTGGGGCAGTCAGTTTGGGCGGCTGCTGGGGATGCCCCAGGAACATCACCCTGACATGGATCCTGGCCTTTCTCCCAGGCTTCAGCCAAGCATGTCCTGCTTTTCCTGGTGACATCCTCTCCATGGCCTCCCCCATGGCCCTGGCAGCATCCTCGGCCTCTGGGTGGGCTCAGAACTGTCCCAGAGCTGGGATTGGAACCAGTGCCACCAGTTGACATTTGGGATGTGGTGGGGCTGAGCTGCAGCAAGGTGGGAGTGGGGGTATCTCTGATTTGCTTGCCCTGGAAATGATGCTAAGAGTGGGGCAAACCCTCCCGGGTCAGGCAGAGCCTCTTGCTCTCCATGTTCTCTGTGCAGCTGCTCCAGCCTGGGCCTCCTCCCCATGGGATGCTCTCCCTGTGCAGGGTAGTGCTGCTGTTGCAACGGGGTAGTTTGGAACCTTCTCTACCCATGGAGAAAAGCTGGGCATTTTGAACCTCCAAACACGTGTGAAACCCAGCCTCACACTGGGTCTGCAAACCCAGCCTTGCAGTAGGGATGTTCCTCATGCATGCATTTGCTGTTAGTGCTGCACTATTAAGGAAAAGAAAAAAGGAAAAAAATGGAAGAAAGTTAAAAAAGGAAGGAATAGAAAGGAAAAAAAGGAATGGGGGGAAGAGCCATGGTGAGTGGCATGGTTTTTGGAGGATGCAAAGCAGAGGAGAAAGAGGGGAAGGAGAGCTGTGAGGGGGATGGAGCAGCATGTAAAGCACCCAAAAATGCCTGGGTGCAAAGCACCCAAAAAATACCCGACCCAGCCTGTGAGAGGCATGGAGGGGGTGTGCTCCTGCCATCATGGACAATGCCACCCCTCTCAGCCAGCCAAGTGGGGAGTGAAGTTGCAGGGTCTGTGCCCGGCACAGCTTTTCTTGGGAGGGAGATGAACATACAAATCCCCTCCTTTCCCCCTGCTACCCACGGGGATGCAATGCAGGGTGCTGGCAACTCACTGGCTCCTCACCAGCTGCATCTGCATCAGTGACCAGGGAGGAAGCTCTGGACATCCCTGGGCAGGGCCAGGATCAGTGCATGCCAGCCGAGTGACCTCTCCCCCCCCTCCTCAGTGGCCTTGGAGCCGGGTGAGCTGGACCCCAGTCCGGCACACAGCTCTCAGGAGTTGAGCATTCTTTAGTTCAATTTTTTTTCTTTCCCTCCTCAGTTTTATTGAGCTGGCAGCTGGCTGACCCCACCCTGGCCTCTGGTTTCCCTTCCTAGCATCCCACACAGCCCAGCACCACACCTAGCAGAGGAAGCGTGGCGGGACGGCTCCCCAGCACAAAGGCGTTTTCCCTCCCCGCCCCCAGCCTGCCGGCTCGCTCCCGATTATTCCTCCCAGCCAGGTCCAACGCTGAGCTCCCACCCGCCTAAAAATAGTTGTGGCACCGCCTGGACGATCCTAAGGGGTGTTGGGCATCTGGGGGCTCAAAGTGGGGCTGATAGGGATGGCAAGAAGAGAAAAGTGAGAATTACCAGCTGAGCCTGATGGTTATTTCTGTTGTTGACAGCTGCATGTTGGTGCAGAAGCCCCAGGCTGGGGCCGTGCAACCAAATCCAAGGGATTTACCCTCGAAATTTGCATCCAGATAACAGAGGTGGCAGGTGGATGGTGGCAGGACCCTGCATCACAGCAGCAGCAAGGACACAAACTGTGATGGGAAAATTGCTTTTTATCCTGATTTTGCAGAGGGCACAGGTCACAAGGGGTACAGGTGATGTGACAGGGGCAGGGGCAGGATGAGTCCCTGGGCCTGGTGCCTGGGTGCAGGTGCTGTACCCTCCTGTGGTGCCCAGCGCTGCCTTGATTCGCTCGCATGGACCAGCCTCACCTGTAGATGTGTTCATGCTGCTGGTTAATTAATCACCATAAAATTACCACTAGTGTGTGGCTGGTGCTGTGGTGTGTCTGACTGGATGAATGAGATGTTTCACAGGAAGAGATCTGTTATTAATTATTGCTAATAATTATCGCTAGGCCACACTGCACAGGTACCCTGAGCAGTGCAGCCAGGTGGGATGGATGTGACCTACACCCGCACCTGCTTCCTCATCCCAAAAGAGATGAGGATCCTTGGAGTAGGGAATCTGGGGGACCTGTGCAGGGCTGCCCAGGCTGGTGGCTGCCCCAGTGCCCCAAGAGGTGCCCCTGTGCCAGTAGGTTCTGTGGGCTCCCCTGGGGCTGGGGCTGCTCCAGCATTGCTGGAACAAAGGCTTCCCAAAGAAAGGCACTTCCTGGAGAGCAAAGGACTCGAGGCTGGGGCTGTGTGTGAGCCCTGCCGGGAGGCTGAAGTCATCCGCTGGGAAATGCTGTGTTCACTGGAGCCTCCCTTTCTCCAGGGCCCAGCTCAGCGCCTGGTTTCCTCGGGCACAAATAGTTCAGTGGGTCAGGCAGAGCTGGAAAGCACCGAGCGAGGCAGCCGGGGGCTGCTGGGCGCCAGCAGACACGGTTCAGCATCCGTGTGAGGAGCATCCTGGCTGCAGCCATGTTCCTGTGCAAGGGTGACATGTCCTCCCTGTCCCCAGACAGGGACCTGACTGTCACCAAGTGGGGTAGAGCGGGTGGTTGTGCCAGTCCCAGTCCAGGGAATATCTGGCTCAGCTGTTTTCTGCTCACTTGCTCTTTGTCTTGGCTTCCAGCTCCCTCTGACAAGTGAAGGGCACTGGGGACACCTCGAGGGAAGGTGTCCTGGGCCACAGTGGCTTTCTGCTCAGGTGCTCACTGCTGCTCTGCCCCGCTGCCAACCACGCTGGCAGGTCCCCAACAGCCACGGGAGCTGAGCCGGGAGCGCGGTGAGGATTGTGCCGGCCAAGCCTGGCAATCAGACACCGCATCCGAGGAAGCGGAGAAAGTTGTCTTTATTTTCAGCTCTTTTCAATAACCAGAGGTCAGCCTTGTTTATACAGGATTATAACTGGAACGACAACAGCGATACCCATTGTGCAAGCAGTGAAACCCACAGCTAACCTGAAAAAGCTGTTTGCTCCACACAGGCACAGCCGCCACAGCCTCCTGGGCGATGGCCAGAGTCCTTGGTCCTCATCAGGGCTGTCCTGCCTCCCCTTCCCCTGCCTTTGCCCTGCCACAGCCCCTCCTGGCACAGCCCTGACTCTCTGGTGATGGTTCTACCAGCTCAGGGTGCCACACTTCCAACCACATCACCCTGTGTTTGCTCCTCAACCTGCTCTCTGTGAAACCCGGGGTGAAGCACCCACACCCCAAGCATGAGCCGAGCTGTTGCAAATCCCACCCACGGTGCTTATGGCTTGACTAAATCCAGGGAAAGGCTTCAGCACAAGGGGATCTGAGCGTGCTGGAGCGTGCAGTGCACACACGCTGCCTGGAGTCGCTTCCCTGGCAGCTGATTGCAGCAGCACTCGATGCTTTAATACCGGGTTCCCATCACAGAGAGAGCCCAGGCTTTTAGGAAGGAAAGTCTTACACTTCTACCAACTATTTCAAGACTCCCATAAACACATTTTTGGTTGAGCATTAATGAATTACCTCAATGCAGAGCTACTCATGCCAAATACATGAATACAGAGTGTAGAAAAGCCGCCGAGAAGCAGATTTGGCTGCCATTCAGCTGCTCTGATCGGCACAATTTCTTTTCTTGATTACAGTAAGAAAATGCTCTCTGCCTATGGCACTGCGTCCTCCCAGGAACAGGCAGCTGGCCGACAGTTGGGCTGTGCAGAGCCTGGGCATGCCAGGGTTATTCGCTGCTTCCATCGCTTGAGTTGGCAGAAAATCCTGCTCACTGGTGTCTGTGCAGGAGATGCAGCCAAGAACCGGGATCCTGCTCCCTCTGCATGCTCAGGCTGGCTGCTCCGGTCTGCCTGACCTCTTTTTGGGTGCTGGGGAAAGGAAAACTGCAATTAGGAGGGTTTCTGAGCCTGGATTTTTGAGGAGGTGGGTCAGGGCTGCCCATCTGTGGCCCTGCAGCCACATGTGCCCACAAGCACCACGGCCAGTTGCTGCTCCACTGTGGCCCCTCTCCGTGGAGTGGTGAACCCTCACCTGCAGCCTCGGGGACTGCCAGGAGACAATGTGACCCCCAGGGAAAGTGCAGCCTCCTCTTTGCAGACGCTTTTCTCACCAGGGCTCTGCTCTGTGGGTTCTCAGCCTCCAGGCCTCACTGGGTGTCTGCTTATCCCTTGCTCCCTGAGCATCATTCAGCTGGAAGCACCATGGATAACCATTGTGGATGAGGATGCCACTTTCAAGCAGGGGAGAGGAGTGGAATGAAGGGAGGTAACAGAGCAATTACACCTCAGCTGTGTGTCTCAGACCTCAGGAGCTCACAGCAAGGGCTGAGTTGGTTATTGCCTTTCTGCTCCCTAAAACGAAGTTCCAGCAGCAGGGGAGCAGGAGTGAGGGAGTGGCTGGTTGCACCCCTGTGGGCATCAGGCCCCCCAGCTGGCAGCAGGAAGGTCAGTCATCTACTTTCTTGCTGGGAAGGCTGATGCAGCAGCACAGGACATCTCCATCTGGGAAAGGTTTGCTGTTCTCAGGAGCTGCTGTGGCTCCTGACATGGTTTAACTTAGCACGAGGCATTACCTCACCGGGCAGCTGCAGATGGCAGATGACTGCTGGCTGCACTGTGCTTCCCTCTCCCTTCTCCTCTCTCCTCTCTCTCCTCTCCCCTCTCCTTGCTTTGTCTGCAGGCCCCAACCCAGTGCTTTCTGCTCAGGTTTTCCACACATGGGCTGACTTGCTCACAGGATCCTGGGAAGGTGGTTCCCTGGTTTCTGAGCATCACCGCGGCAAGGCCTGGAGGAAGGGGTGTCCTTTGCAGCATCCCTAGGAGTGACAACCTTCACCAAAACTTGCAGCCCACCCCACTGCACACAGGATCTTGTGGCCACCTCTGTGCTTCACCAAGGCTTTTACCATCCAGCAGAAAGGATGAGGATTTTGCTGAGAGAAACTCACCTTCACGTAGACAAGGAAACACCAGTGGAAGAGAGTAGTTTTGGCTCAGAGAAGGGTAGATGCTGTGGTGGCTTTGTGCCTCAGTTTCCCCATGTGTTGTGCAGGGCATGGGGCTTCTCCTCAGGCCCAGCCTCTCCTTGGGCCCTTTAGAGACAATAATCTCCCCATCAAAGGCAGGATGTATCCTGGTAATTTTGATAGAGTGCTTCTATCCTGTGAGAGAATGATAATAACAATTACAATAATAATGCTAAGAATAGATCATAATTACAATAATAATGCTAAGAATAAAAAGAAGGACCTGAGAGTTTTCCCTCCCTGCCAGCAGAGGAACAACTTTTGCTTTTTCAATGCTGCATTAACAGAAGGGAAATGGAACATGCAGCATTTGCAGCTCAAACCTCCAAGAACTGTGACATCCCTCCCATAAACTGGACTAAAAATGAGATTTAAAACATTGCCAGAGGCAGCACTGTTTTCTTTACTTTCCGATTTCAGAGCATCCTTTGTGCTGCAGCTCAGAAAGCAGCAGTGAAATCTCCCAGCAGCAGAGCTCAGGGATGCCGAGAGCAGCCAGGGAGGGGTTCGGCACAGGGATGCAGGGTGGGATGAGGAGGGTGGTGTGGACCCCCAAGGCTGTGCCGGTGCCGGGGATCCCGCGGCTGGCGGAGCGCAGGGGGCCGGGGTAGGAGGGAGGCTGCAGGGAAGGGCTCCAAGGGAAAGGCTTTGTTCGCGGGCCAGCCGGGAGCGTGCGAGGGCCTCCGGGCTCCAGTGTTTCTCCTCCACTTTGCTCCTGCTGTGCGCGGGAGCCGGGCCAAGGTGGAGCACGGCGGGGTGGAGCGGGTCCCTGAGGAAGGCAGGGGACAGGGGACGGCCGTGCATTTGGCCCTTAAATTGCCTGGGAAAGCAGCTCTGTCTTTCCATCTCCCCCCAGGGCTCTTCTCTCACCCAAGCTGAAGCCGTTTCCCAGGCTGCTTGCCCTGAACACCTCCACCTCTGCCCTTTGCCAGCGACCCCTCTTCTTGGCCCGTGGAGTCTCACTCTGATCTGCAAGTGCTCGGGGAGGATAAGGAAAAGCTCACGACAGAATGGCCCTTCGTGGAGCGCTCAAGCTGGAGAAATAAGGTTAAAGGCTCTTATCTGATGGAGCTGCAGCCTTGCCAAAGCCTGTTGCTATCAGCTCGGGACACATGTGCTATTGGCAAAGCTTCGGGGACACAATAATACAAACAGTTTTCATTGTCGAGTCAACAATGATGGGAGAAGGAGCCTGGTGCTATTACCGGTATAAAAGGCACTGTAGGAAAGCTCAGGACAGGAGGATGCAGTCAGGATCAACAGCAGGGTTTAGCAGATTACAGTTATATTTGTATTCGGGAAGGAGAAACCTTCCATCCCCAGTGGGCTGGAGCCAGAAGGACGGAGCCAGCGGTGGGGGTTTAGGCTGCAAGGAAAAACTCTTAGAGCAGCACTGGAAGCAGCTGCAGCAAAATGCTGATGGCAGCGGGTTTGGACAAGGGCAGGTTTGCAGTGCATCAGCCCAAGGTTATGCTTTGCTCATGAGGAGCCACCCAGGGAAAAAAACTCATGGCTGCAAGGCAAGGGAGGCTGTGCAGCAACAGCCTGAGATTTGCTGGATCCTCCACGTTTTCACAACAAAGTCTATGTAATTGGAAAAACCCACACCAGGGGTGCAGGGTGGATGGGTGAGGCAGCACATGCTGCACCCGGACCCTGCTATCACTTGGGCACATACAAGGATGGTGGGAAGGTCAGTGCCTCCACAGGGCTGGTGCATGGTGCATTCCTGTGCTTCACAGGAGGAATCATCCTTCCAACACCTGTGTTGTTTCCCCCCGCATCCCACCTCCTCAGCCTTCCTGGCCCCTGTCATTATAAACAGGGGATTTCTGGAGAACACATACTCCTGGTCTGGACTGAATCTGTAGGTGGATGAGTGGGATGGGAGGATGAGAGGGATGGAGCTTGTGGGGCTGTCACATGCCAGCAGCTCAGCCTGCCCCAGCCCCAGTGCTGTGCTGTGTCCCCGGGATCAAGGCAAGGTCCTGATCCCTGATGCCACACACTGGTGAGGGCACAGGGAGGGTGTTTAAGGAATATAGGACCCAAAGTGCAAGATGGAGGGTCTCCAGCCACCCCACAGAGGGGTGGGAAGCAGACGGAGCATGGGGATCAAGGTGCAGTGCCATCCTGGACCCTTGGATGTGGATGGTGAGGTGACAGGGAGCATCACCTCCCTTGTGCCCATGGTAGTGAGGAAGAGAACGCAGGTTTGCCAGCAGTCGTGCCATGGTGGCAGGAGTCAGGCATACATCTATATCTATATCTATATCTATATCTATATCTATATCTATATCTATATCTATATCTATATCTATATCTATATCTATATCTATATCTATATCTATATCTATATCTATATCTATATCTATATCATCTATATCTATATATATTTATATACCTCAGATTCATTTTTCATCATTTTTCATGGCTAAGCTTCACGAATGAAGATTTGGGAAGGGCTCTACCCACATTTGCTACAAGCGTGCTGGTGGCTAAAAAGGCCAACGTGAGATAGACAGGTCTGGTTGCAAAAGGCAGAGCGATCTATGTACCTCAGATACATCAGGCACAAAAGCCTCCACACCATGGGGGGCTGTGGGAGGCTGAAAAGCCGGACAGGAGGTCAGGAAATTATTGGCTAATGTCAGGGACCGAGCGGGGCCAGGGTGGCCATTCCCACCAGGAGCAATGATGTCAGGCGGTGGCGGGGGCCAGGAGGCAGGAAGCCCGATGCAGCCAGCGAGTCTGTCCTCCTTGGACTTCCCCATGTGTTTTCATGAACAATGCATCCCGTGTAAGGGACACCATGAGGCTGGTCCTCCTGCACTGGGGACACCACTGTGCCCTGACAGGTGCTGCTCCCCATCCACGTGTGCTGGTGTTGCACCTTCTGTGTGGAGATTTGGCATATCTGCTGTATCACTGTGAGGTCTGAGGCTGCAGGTCTGTTGCTGTGCCCCTGCCTGTGCAGGCAGGGCCGCTATTGCCCCTCCCTGGATGGCACATCTGGCCTTGTGTATGGGCAGACGGGCTGACGAGTTCCAGAGGAAGCCCTTGGAGAAAGGATGGCTGTGCCAGCTTAAGGGGCCCTCTCCCACTCCCAGCTCAGCTGTGGAAAGGTAAATACCTGCCTTGAGCATCCAGCCATGCCTGCCTGAGTGTCCAGATATGTAATCTGGAAGAGGCAATAGCAATTACTCAGCTGTGACGAAGAAAGGCTCTGGCAGACTGAGTCACTTAGGGATACTGTGAGATGCGGAAAAGCCTCTCCAGGACGGAGTTCCCTGCGGGGGTGAGGAGTACCCAGAGACCTATCTCTACCCTCCCAGCTCAGGCAGTCGGGCTTGGTTTTTCCCCCTGGTCCCTTTGTGAACCCAGCAGGCATCAGGAGCGAGCAGGGTGACAGCACCCAAGCCAGGGGCTGCAAACAGGGTGGCTGGGAAGGGGCAACACACCTGGCCATGAACACCCAGAGGGAGAGGTACTTCCTGAGGACGGCCAGCTCCTGGGTGGCCCCAAGGACTCCAGTTTGGCCTCTCCCTCCACCACACCCAGCACACCCTTGTTTTTGCAGAGGTACCTCCTCGCCGGGGACGCAGCAGGCTGCGTTTGCCAGCGGCTGGCAGCGATGTCCGTGCTGGTGCCGACAGGCCGGCTGGCATGCTTTCCCCCAGGGAGGCTTTAGCAGGAGGCTGTGCATTTCTGGGAATTGTGTCGGGTAGGGAAGGAGGTTATTGTTCGAGCTGCAAGTGTGCGGCGTGCTGATGAGATCAGGGCTCGGTGCTCGGCGGTGGGGCAGCGGAGCCGCTGCAGCGCCGCTGATGGGGCGATAAGCGGGAGAGCGCTCTTATCTGTGCTCCCATCACTGCCGGGAGCAGCGGGCGCAACCCCGGAGACCTGGCTCTGCTGGGCCTTGCTGTCCTGATGGCACAGGGCAAAGGGGTGTCCAGGGGGCTTCAAAGGGAGCGATGGAGGCAGTGAGGCAGGGAGCACGCTGCCTTCGCCCTCTGGCACACCACCAGACCACAGCTGATGCACCAAGGGCCTCTCGTCCCTTGGCAAAGAAGCTCGGGGGGAGTATTACAGAGAAGAGGTCTCAGCCCTCTTTGCTGATCCTCTCCTTCCTCCTCTCTGCCAGTCAAACCCAGTTTCCAGCCCCTCTTAGGTCTTGACCCCAGTCCCGTCTGCTCTGCCACGTGCTTGCTTCTTTGCAGATAGGACACAGATCCCTTTGATCCCAAACTCTGTGGGAGAGTGTTTCAGAGCTCCGCTTGCACAAGTGCCAAGAGGAAGGGGCTGGGGGGTTCAAGCCCTTTGCAATCCTTTGCTGCAGGTGCTGTGTCAGCCCGTGAGAAGCCAATCAAACATCCTCCTCCTCAGGAGGAGGCCTCCTTCCACATGCCATGGCTTTTGACACAGAGCAAGTCACAGGATCCTGAAGGGGACAGACCTGTTGCCAGGGAGGGGCACTGCCATCCGGAGAGACTGCCCGGGTCTGGAGATGGCGTGGGGGAGCAGGGACAGCATAGGAAACGCTACATGGGAAAGCCCTGTGTGGGAGCTCAGGAGCCCCTGCCTTCCCACAGCAGACTTATCAAGGCACCAGTTCAGAGTGGCGCTTTCCATGGGCCAAAAGGGAAGTGCATACACACCAGACTTCTCGGGGTCAAGGATGCTGGGCAAGCAGCGAGCTGAGAGGCTGCAGGGGGCAAGGGAGGGAACTGGGGCGTGGGGAGGGAGACACAAATAGAAAAATGAATGGCTTGAACTTCCTATGTTTTATGGAGGCAAATAAAAGGAGACAGAGAGGGGGAGAGAAAGGAGACCTGAGTGCCTGCACACGCTCTCACGCTCACACAGAGGCCAGCCCAGACCCCAAAGCCCACTGGTGGCTGGTTTGGTGTGGCAGCTGGCACCCACTTGGCTGGCACAACTCTGGGCTGGCTGCTTGTCTGGCCCAGTGTCCCCTGAGGGCACCTCACGAAGCGTGACAGGCTGCTGCTTAGCATTGACTCCTCTCCCTGTCATTATTATTTTGAACAGCAGCCAGTATAATTAAAATTGTTAGGAGGAAGAGGTTTAGGGAATATCCAAAGTGTCTCAGAAGAGCATCTGCAAAGCTGGAGGTCCAAACTCCACCCTGGCACTCATGATGAGCAGGGCCCAGGGGAACCATCATCTCCTCTATGTCCTCCCTTCCATGCTCCCTGTTTTGCAGGGTGGCAGAGGCTGGGCTACCACACAGGGTGGTCCTGGCCACGTTCCCCTCCGCAGCTGCTGCCCACTGTAGCCAAATCCTGCAGCCTTTCCTGGTGCAGGACTTGTCCCAGGAGGTCCAGATGGCAGTGTCCCCAGGCACAGGCTGCTCACCAGCAGATCCCGGACAGATGCAGTGGGAGTTTGTGGGGAGTGGAGGACACAGAGCCTCTGTGGGCTGCTCTTTCAGAGTGGCATGGATGAATCCTGCAATATCTTCTGGGAACCAGGACGCTTTCCGTTGTCTTAGGAGGGCTAGTGCCACAAGGCAAGGCATGGAGAGGTCCCTTGGCTCCTCAAAGGAGAAAGCAGGATGGTCTGCAAATCAGAAATGCGAGACATCACTCGCGCCAAATTAGCCAGGTTTCCTAAGTGTTTGTGTGGAGGATTTTGGCCTCCAGGGTCAAATGTCCCCAGTGCCAGGGCTAGAAGATTAAGGACATCAGACAGCTGAAGGAGGAGGGAAAAAGGCAGATCCCTTCCTCCATTCTGGGGCTGCACAAGCTCATGGTTAGAGGATTAGAGCTAGGAGTGCTCTGCTGCTGCCAAGGCAGGCTCACAAGGGTGAAAAGGAGGGAAGATGCATCAAAACCCCTTCCCAAAATAAGTGCTGCTCTGGCAAAGCCTACAGCAGCTGCTCCCATCTCTTAGCTTGGGTTCTACCAGCTACTGGCTGTCATTGTTCCCTGGACGGGGTCACTCACTACCAGCTCAGAGCCCAGCGTGTCACCCAGGGACAGCCAGTCCTTTAAGTGGTGACCCCAAGGCTGAGGACCTGGAAATATGGGCATCCCTGAAGTTAGGGGGTGTCTCAGGGTAGAGCTTCCCTGGGGGTTTCTTGGTTGGTGGGTGGGTGGACAAGGCTGAGTCCAGGAGGGCCTCTCATCTCTGCCTTACCAAAAGTGGACCAGATCAAGCCTCCAGTGGTTGGA